CCCGCCCCTCCTCCCATATGGCGATGAATCTGTCGCCATGGAAACCTGGCTCCGGGGGCAGAAGAGGGAGACGACGGTGCGGGAGGGGAGGGCGGCTGTTGCTTTCGCTCAGACAAATAAGCATCGCAGGGCTCATTTATGATGGTTTGTTTAGAGATAATAACATGCTGTTAGAGGTCACATGGCATCACATGAGCGTGTGTTGAGCAAAAGCAGTGTAACACAAGCGCGATATTTCGACCAGTCTCGATTTTGGCGCATGCCTTGAACGGAGTGATTGAATCTGCTATTGAGAATCAGATTTGTGAAGGTGCGGGTCGTGGCTGCACACAGAACGAACCAGACCATGTGCTGCCCGCGCTCCCGCCGCCAGATGTGGGAGGGAAGTGAGAACGCTCCGGCGCGTGCATCAGACGGACGACCTTGACACACTTTCAACTCTGCATGCACCCCTTCGCAACGCTCTTCGTGAGAGCTCGCATTTACTCAAAGGCCTCCCTGCCTCCGCTGCATGCACGAAGTACGCGCGCACGCACGCACGCACGTACGCACTCTTTCAAGAACAGATTTCTCTTGCAGGAAGAAATGCTGAGTGCTGCTGTTTGCTTTGCACACCGAATGTGCTGAGGTTGTAGGCTGTCCCCAAACATCTGCTCCCTGGAGTGGAGAGGCGAAAGCCGCAAACCGACGGCTCCATGGGCGCTCTGCATCAGAGGAAAAACCACATTGTTTGACACACACCCACACGCACACACACACGCACACACACACACACACACACACACACACACACACACACACACACACACACACACACACACAGTGGAAGTGTTTTACCTGAATGAGACGTTTCTTCAGAGAATCCAAGGCTTGATTTTGTTCTATTCTCATCTGTTCCCTCTGAATCCTCAACGCCTGCTCCTGGAAGCAAAATATGAATTTAGCAGTCTAATAGCTAGCTGGGCTGCAAATGGATATTCGCTCGAGCAAACTACACCTTGTCTTTGAGCAGTTGTTCACTTGCTTGCCTTTGAGAATCTAACTCTTGATGAAGGTACTCAGTCAGATGTTTCAAGGACTCTTGTTGAGCTTTCAGTTGCGCAAGAGCCTCATCGATGGTAGAGCTGGAACACGCAATGTATTTGTCAAGGATGTTTTCATTTATTTTCCCCAAGTGGAGGGTCGGGAAAAAGCGGGGTTAGGATAGGTACCGTAAAAAATGACAAGAGCTCCTTAGTTTACCACAGCAGTGGCAAATGACATTTTGGGGTAAAGAATTGCATCCAGTGACACAGCTTGTAAAGTGGCGTAAGAATACGTCCTCGCGCAGCACAAGAAAGTACATTCGGTTAGTGCCGTATTACTGATTTGTTTCATATTCATGGCCTATACATTTTTTTTCATACTAATGTTTACTATAATGATGACTGTACACCTAACTGCAGCATCATACACCATCTTAGCAATAAATAGTATACATTTGGGAATCCGCGGTAAACAATTTACGGTAAAATACTGGATATTCATCATAGGTCGAACTTGCCCTTTTATCTGGATAATTATTTGGACAGACATGCGTCAGAAAGATTATTACCGTATTTTCCGCACTATATGGCGCACCGAAAAGTCTTCCATTTTCTTAAAAGCTCAAGGCGCGCCTTAAAATCTGGTGCGCCTTGTGTATGGTCATTACGCTAATATGTCGACCCCAAGATGGCTCCTTGCTGGAGACATGCTTACAATGTTATAACTTGCTGTTGGTTCAGTGAACTGTGTTGCTCCAATTTACTGACCTCTGATCGTTCTGTTGCAGCTACGCTCAAAATAAATTCTGTCGGGGGGTCTATAGAATTTATTTTGTGATTTTTTTTTTTTTTTATGCATTACTGTTTTTCAATTTTCGTAGTTTCATTGAAGTAATCGTTAATTTACGTTTTTTCGAGGCGGTCATGAACGCCTCTTGAGTCTAACGGAGATGAACAAAGATGTACCTGTAGCTCTATCTAGTGGATTCATTGTAGATTGCGCCTTAGAGTCCAGTGCGTGCAATATATGAAAAAAATTACATTGCTGCCATTCATTGAAAGTGCACCTCATAATCCAGTGCGCCTTTTAGTGCAGAAAATATGGTACTTGGAGTTCAGATATTCAGAATTCATGCACCTCTCTGCCGCAAGTTCCCACATGGAATATACATTTTATATATACATATTAGCTAAGGGACTTCCCTAAAAAGAAGAGCTCTGTACCAAACTATGAGTAAAATGTTCATGTTTTCAAAAGCAGTTTTTGAACAATACATTTGCTTTATTGTTTTTTGATGAAACTGTTGGGCGTCTTTGCGATAATAGGACAGTGCACGTCTGAGGGTGACAAAAATTTAGAACCACCGTGCACCCTTGAGGGAAATTATACCTGCGAGGGAGCTCCACCGTATTTTGTTGGCCTCCATTTTTCTCGATCAAGAGGTGTAGAAACTCGCACTGGGCCACCAGCTCCTGAGCCCAGACCCCGAGCTGCTGCTCCTGCTCAGCTCGAGCGTCAAGATGGCTGATCCGCTGCTCTTCAAGCATCCTGCCAATCCTCTCCGTTTCTGCCTCGGCCTTCCGCACAGCCTGCTCAAGCTTCAGCTCGGTCTTGCCACTTTCCTACGAAAAAAGACCGACTCGTTCACTTTTCTGCTATGGTCGCAGAGGATATCTTGTACCTGCAACATGTGTTTCTGCAATTTGTCCAGCTCGTCCTGCCGCTCCTGCTTTAGTGACTTGCAAATGGCCGAGAGCAGAGACTCCTGCTCTCGCTGCTGCACGCAGCGCTCGGCCTCCAGCTCCTGCACGCGCTTATGAAAGTGACAAGAACAGCTGATGGGATGGGGAAGCGGATCTACGGCTGTGTCGCAAGCCCAATCAGCCAAAGTCAACTTACGCTTTGCAGCTCCGCCACTCGACGCTGAAGCGTAAGCGCATTGGCTTTCTCTCGATGTAGCTCGCTCCGAGCCGTTTCCAGGTTCCTCCTGTTCTGCTCTTCCAGTAAACCACGGTGGAAGTGTACGGCTGCAATTTTGTCCGCCTCCCACTTCCTCCTCTCCTCATCTATGGCTTTGTGCACCTGAATGAGGGAGGAGCAAAGTGTTCACGTAGTGTCGCTGCGAAGAGTTTCGTCAAACGGTTCGCAGTACAGCACCGTCTGTAATGTTTGCGCCCGCAGCTCTTCTTCACGTTTCCTCGACTCCTCCTTCTGGTGCTCCAGTGAATTCTTCAGTGCCTTTGCTTCATCTTTCTTGAGCTAACAAGATTTGACCAATCATAAACCTTCATGCCTTCGCTGTGTTTGTTTTCGATGCGCTTCACTGACTCAGCTCCAAACATTTCAATCAAGCTGCTTTTAAGCGGATTTCTCACCTCTTGTATTTGCTGCTCATGAATCGAGACTAAATCTTTCCTCTGCTGCTTCAGCGCCGCCTCCTGAAATATTTCTTGAACGCTTATTGGAATGTTCTGCATACTGTGACGATTCTAAATGCTCACCATCATGGTATGGGCGTGTCCTCTGGCTTCTTGAAGAGCACTCTGCTGTTGACTTTTTAGGAACTCCAGCTCTCCCTTCAGTCGCTCTCTTTCTGTTTGCAAGCCTCCCTGCTGCTCCTGTAGATCTTGCAGTTGTTGCTCCTTCTGGCCCAACAGTTTTTCCAGGGTGTCCACCTTGGCTGTGCATATTCCAAGCTTTCCTTGTAGCTCCTGTGCCTGACACTCTAGATTCTAAGTGAAATCAAAACGGTGCTTCTGTCAAAGTAACACGCAAATTTGCTGGCCTAGAAATAGCAACACAATGGCAACAGAGTTATGATAATTGCTCACGTCAAAGTAATCACCTCTATCTCCTCCTTTTTCTGCTTCTGCGTCTCTTCTAGAGAAGAGCATCTATTCCTCAGGGAAGTCTCTGCCTCAGAGGCCCTCAGGAGTTCCTCGCAAGTTTCCTCCAGCATCTGCTCAACATAATATTAACAACAAAGTACAGACTTGGAATATTTGATGTTTCTCCATTTGTTGTGATGTCAACCCGTTTATACTGTGGTCATATTTTACTTGTTGCATGGATTCCTGATTCTCTCTTGCCCGCCGTCGCTCAGAGAATAGTTCAGCTTTGGCACAACCCAACTGTCTCTCCAGCTCCGACGTCGCTCTGTTGGTCTGTTTGTGAAGCATTTCAATTAATAAGTCAAGTGCGCCAAGAAAAGAGCTGACACACCGCTGAGCAACGGGAACCACCTCCACGCAGGACAGCTGCTTGAGTTGTTCTCTCTTCTTTAGCTCTTCTTGCAAATTTCGGACTTCGCGGAGGTGGGACTCTTTTTGCCTCTGAAGTTTCTGCAGCTGGCAACTGTACAGCACAACAGACAGCGTGTCTCATCACAGGACTCCACTTGGCTGGCAGTGTTTGAATTCATACCTTAATGAGTTTATCTCTGCCTTACAATCCTTTAGCACAACCTCTAATTGCCTCTTCTCTGTCTCTAGGTGCCCGGTCTCTGCACTGAGTCGCTCTAGATCATGAAAGGCACGCTGGTGGGAAATAGAAGTACAACACGCTTTCATTTGTCTTCCTGATAAATGGCCGAATGAATATTTTACACGTTACCTTTCTTCTCAATTGCAGCTCAGAAAGGGAGAGCTCCACCTCGGTTAAATGAGACTTTTTCATGCGAAGAGTCTCCTCCACTTTCTCACATCTCTAAATCAGACATACACAATCATGGCTCGTGTACCCGCAGCTGAAAAAATGCACGCCATTTGGTGGAAAAATACTTGTCTGAGAGAGGAGAGGCGCTCGCTCATCTTCTCCCAAGCTGAGTGCATCTTCTCTGACGCCTTCTCAAGCTTGGACCGCCTGCTCCAGTGTGCATTTGATTCCTCATCGGTGTCCTTGTCATCATCCTCCAAAGATTTCATCGGCCTAGCAATGAAAAATAAATGATACGCATCAGAATAATCATCACATAGAGACAAATATGCAGAGTATGCTTTGCTGTGGTCTTCCGTGCTATTTACCTGCACTTTTGCCGTGCTTTACAGCGAGTACTTTTGTTTTGCACAGCTCCTGTGGGTTTTTGAACTTTGCCGACAAAGAACATTAGTCATCATTAATGCCACGGTTAGGAAGTCAAATCTTAAAGCAAGTATGGGTTGCTCACTGTCATTCCGTGTGTGCGCGTGTGTGTGTTTTACAGGAGACATGTGAGAGTGCAATCCTAAATGTAGCAAAACTTGGCAGTTTTAGATTTAATTGAATTTTGCCATTCATTGTTCAGCCGAGCTGATACTGGATACACTTTTGATAGATGACATCATATTGTCTTCTTTCCACATTCTGTCATAACGCTTACCAGCCCGTCTGCATAGGTGCTGCCTGACCTGATCTGTACAGACCGAATCAAGGTCACTGTCCACGGACACCGTGTCAAAATTCCACACAGGTATTCCTGTGACACAAAGGACAGCATTGTAACGGACAGACATGCTAACTACCAAGCCAGTGTGCGGGCACACAATAACAAACATATTTTAACACCTCTCTGACAGCGTCACTCAAAACTAATCCTTGTTGTTTTGTAAAGGTACAGCTCTAGGGTTGGATATGTGAATGGCGCATGCAAATACTGCACTGTGTGTTTGGTACCTGCTAGGCACCTGGCCTTTGGAGAAAAAATGTGCTTTGGGTTCTGATGTTCTTTTTCCACCTCTGTGCTGTAGAAGACTGAAAGAAAAAAACCCCAGTAAAATTATGGCTGTGTCACTCAGTTGAGACGAATCACAAGACTGACACCAGAGGGACTGTTGTTAAATTTTGTGTGTGTGACTCCTCTTTCCTCACCAACATGTGAAGTCTGAACTCCAGATGTTTCAGAAGGACATCTTTCAAGTTCCTCACTTTGTTCTGGCTCGTGTTTACTACTTTTCACATTTGTAGCTGCTTCACTTCTGACACCATTTTGAATGTTTTGGCGACTCAGGGAAGGGTCTCCGCCAGATGTCATCAAAGTCCTTTCAACCTCCTCCTGTTTGTCGAGCTCTTCAAGGCTCCCCTCTGGCAATGCCAGTTCAACCATCTCCTCTCGAAAGCACCTCACAAAGTCTTCAGTGCAAATACTTTCTGAAGGCGGATGAGGGTCACTTGACATTGTCCCTTGCTTACAGGTGTCTCCAAGAAGTCTCTCTAGTCTCCACATGACCTGTTCCTTGTGACTCTCCATCTGCACTTTGCTGCTTGTCCGTACGTCGAGTTCCCACGTGGCCACCTCATGTGTTGCGGGAGCCACGGAGCTTGTGCTGTCTGCGGGGTGAAAAAAATCAGACTCGTACATGAGCAGCATTTTTTAGATGTTCAAAGTTGAACTGGGACAACACCTGAAATAAATTCATTTGTTCATTTAAATTGTCCGCTTAGTGGGGTTCATGCAAATAATAACAGCCCATCAGTATAATATGAGAACTAAAATATTGCAGATCTCTACCAAGATTGACATTTTGCCCCGTGGAAGAAAATAGTTTCATGCAGACACAGATGGCGATTTAAAAGAATTCTTCTTATGAGGAAAAATGAAAATGTAAATAGTGATCTTGTGTTTAAGTCATCACTGAACTGCAATAGGAATATCTTTGAAACAAGAACTATCTCAGGTTGATGTGACAACGACGGTAGGCAGAAACGATGACAACTCACAACGAAAATCCAAGTTCCCATTTTCTCCTGATGTTGCTTACATCTTACCTGCTGTTTGTTCAACTGCTGGAGTGACTTGCAGATCCAGACAAGACATGGGGGTGTCATTTGTCTGGGATACTGTGCTGCCAAGACCGGTATCTTTGCTGGGAGACTGACTCAACCTAAATGGGGCTGAACACAAGAGTTGGGAAAAACCCCCATCAACCATCACGTTGAAATAGCATTCAAATATTTCGTGAGGAGTGCATTACCTGAATCGATGCGGTCAAGTTGCCGATTCTTGACCTGCGTGCATTTAGTCAATCAGGCTTATTGATTCACCGAATATGTTATGTCTGATTTAAAGCAGAAAATGACCGACTTGCAGATTCCCCAGCTGAGCGTCAATGGCATCCAGCAGAAAGTCACAGGGGTCCGCACTGAGAGGAGGTCGAGCTGGTTCAAACCCGCTGCTGCTGTCGTGTTGGTCTTTTGAGGACAGAAACCAAAGCATGTCTACAACACGGCCGAGTACACACACATATGGACGGCTCTGCTATTTATTTATAATTGCAGACCTGAGTGAAATTCATTCTCGTCCCCTGTGTAATGGCTGAGTTGCTCCATGTTGTACTGGGTATACAAATGGAACACCAGTAAGGCTGCTGGGTCACGATGTTGCTTGGATGCCGTGGAAACCAAAGCGGTGTGGCTTCAAGAGCTGCTATAGGCTACAAGTCACGCCACAGGCACTCCACACGCAGACTGAATAACTTGAGCTTACTCTTTCCGGAGCTCGACAAAAGTTAGACAAACGGAGAGAAAGCTTGTCGGCTGAATCTTACGTTGGAGAAGAAGCACAATATCTTTTCAGCGGCTGCGGTGGGTCGCGAGTACACGGTGGGTTGCCATGGAAACCGCGCGGCAACCTAGTCAAAGTTTAGCTAGCAAACACCAGAAAGGAGCGTCGACAAGCTAATATGCTGGGAGAACACAAAGTAGACAGCGCATTAACACTGTATATGAACATATACAACAAATTGTTTATTATGTAATACATTATTAGTAAAAGTAAAAGCATTGTCAATATCTGAAACCCATTTCATGGAAGGCCTCGAGTCATCTTTTCTCTAATTTAGGATCTCACTTAGCATGTAGCTACTTTATCGAGACCAATGGTGCCCTAATTCCCCCTAGTATACGATTCAATATTCCGGGCAGAGGCAAGCTTGCAATCGTCCACATGATGTCAAATGTAATTCGTTTCTACGACTGAGACAAAAAAAAAAACATAGCCAGTGTCAACAACTTTGTTTTTATTCTTGTGCCTTGGTTGTTATAAGACAATGTTATAAAGTGAGGGGGAAAAAATACAGAATTTCTGTAAAAACAACAACTTGTAACTTGTGATTTACATCTGAATACACCTACAGTACGCGTATTAGGAAAGGAAGAGAAGTCAAGGCATGTCAGCAAACCTTCGATATTTCTACCAGACTGCCGTTACGTTGCATTGAATTTCACTTTTACACCGATTAGTAAGATCAGCAGCCTTTTTCTCAGCAAACCACAGGTCACAGTTCCAGTTGGTTCAGTTGGTTTTAGTTTGGACAAGGCAAGGAAAAACACATTTCCGTCTTCCACACACTTTACTTCTGCCTCGGAACCGAGCAGGAGCTTCAAATTGGAAGAAAATGAGTGCCATCCGAGCGCACCAAACTGTATATGCCACATTATACAAAGTGTATAAATATGCAAACATTAGAATAATGGCACCCATGAGAAGGTCAGGCGTAAACGCATTCCAAAAATTAAAGCTGAAATCCCACCAAGAGTCAGGTGAGAAATGCTGAAAGAGAAACATTAGAACCCTCTCAAGAAAGGGAAGGCAAATGAAAACGTTGAATCTACAGCACAGCTCTACGGATACACTTTGGTTGTTTTTCCCTTTCTGCTCAAGACTGAAAACCGAGTTTTGTGTGTTATTGCTACAGATATCTGGTCCTGTACAGCCAAGGTCACAATCTATTATCGTTTTCGGAATTGCACTGATGAAATGTCATTCAATTATCATTCAAAATGCAGCACGTACTTGAAATACATTTTTGACTTGAAAAGCAAAAGTTGTCAATGTGCCTCAACCTGAGCAAAGGAAACGGGCCATACTTTCTCTTTGTGCAATTATCAACTGCCAAATGAGTTATTATGAAAGAAAATAATGACATGAAAATTTGAACTGCTGCGATGGTTGTGATCCATTCAAACAGATATTTGGACTTTGAGACTATCAAGGCCCATTTAAGTCCTCTGAACATCACACTAAATTGATGTTAAACACAAAGCAGATTATGACACATATTTATAATGTGTGGGTTACACCTCCTTCCATTTTCTATGCCACACACCCTCACTAGAGTCATGGGCTAACTGGAGCCTATCCCAGCTGAGAGAGAGAGCAACAGAGGTGGGGTAAACCCAGCAATGGTCACTGGCTGATTACAGTGTGGGTTACATGCTTTTGGGAACTGGTGATAAAAGTGCATTTGATGCTTTACGTGTTTACCCCCCAAAAAAGGCATGTTGTGCTGCATAAAATACTGTCCCACAGGCCATAAATAAACTTACTCTGTCTTGAACAGACAGCACTGATGTGAGTGTAAACCTCCTCTGTCTTGAACAGACAGCGCTGATGTGAGTCAAAGATCGACCGTACAATTAAATGTCATCGCTATGTTGCTTTAAGTCAGTGAAGGAAACGTGATCAAAGGAGGGAACATTGTCCAATGTTTGTGTCAGTAGCTTGTTTATTTTTTGTTATAATAAAATAAGGCCTCTTTTCTGTGATTTTGGAGCTATCGGAAACGTGATCAATGGAGGGAACATTGTCAAATGTTTGTGTCAGTAGCTTGTTTATTTTTGTTATAGTAAAATAAGGCCTCTTTTCTGTGATTTTGGAGCTATTAACATGAACTACGCTACTTAACCGAATGAGTGTGTCTCAGAGTTTTCTTCTATTATTATGGAATATGTTGCGGTTCAAAATGCCAATTTTATGACTGCATTTCAAATCTGCTGTCCAGCTAACTTCATTCTCATAGGACTATTTTACATGATCATTTTCTTATCACAAAATATTCACACACAAAATAGACCAAAGGGAACATGACAGTACCTCTAGCTTTGAAATCTGTATTCCTACCAATAATTACAAAAAAATACTGCCGTTTTTTTTCCCCAAAGCTTGCCACTGGATGTGTAGTGCACAGGCCAGTCAATTACAGGCAAAAGACTGAGGGTACTTTCAAAAGCTGATCCCAGATCAGTATACAAACACTGCGGACAAGACATTGGAACTGCGGTGAGCGTGGAGCAAAGGCCTCTGTGGTTTCTGCTCAGAAGGAACCAGCCCTGATCTTTTCTACGACCTTTAACCTGCTGCCGACAGAGGCTCCAGGCTCACCCAGGGCCAATGAAATCAACTACAGTATAAAAAGACGACACTGGGGAGACATTGGATCTACATTGCGTTAGTACTGAACGGTGGATGCTGTCACTGGATGTGATGCCTTGGAAGAGCACCAAAAGACGAGAGAAAGTATATTTCGTATCAGCAGGAACACAACGATATGTTCTAGTCTCATTTCATGCACAGTGACGAGTGCCTAGTCATGTATAAGATGCCCGAAATGGATGCATTTCAACAGAATCTTAAAAATGTACCAAGTGGGACTGGCTCCTACAACCCTTTCTGAAGCATGAACTGCTTTGAAGCATACTTGCAATTCATTCACGATCGGAGAATTTCGATGGAAAGCTATGTTACATTCAAACTGGACATTTTTTTCCAGCAAGAATGCGGACGTGCTTTCGCAAGTTCTGTGTGCATATGCAGAGGTGTACGCCAAACAACGGCGAGTCCTCATGAACAATCTTTGTGATGCATTCGAACACCACCTATACAAACATAGAATATTCATTCGGAACAAATAGGATTGCTGAAGGGACTTGAAAATCATGCCTGTTGACTTTCCTACTAAAAACCTGCAAGGTCAGGTTCATAGTGTAGTCTCGAAAGAGATGATTTAACGAAGTAGAAGTTGTATGCGCAGGATATGAAATGCAGCATTCCGATGGGATCGCTGTGTTTGCAAGTCAACACATTAATTACCAAGTAGAGATGTACAATGTTTGCCACTTTTGAATCCACCATTGTCAAACCATTTATTTTCACAGCGATTACAATGTTTTTTTTTTTTTGTTATCCCCCCAAGAGCTAGTGTTGTTCATTTTTCAGGAAGGTATGTCATCATGCCAAATTGGCAATTCGTTTGTTCCAACTAAAGCAAACTCACTATCTTCTATTGTGGCACTGAAACAAAAAAAAAATCATTGGAAGTAATAATAAAGCACATTTACTGTGAAAATAAGCTTCATGGCATGGTTTCAATATATGATACAATACTTACTGTGTGTAACTCAAATTAAAAATCTCAATTTTAAATTTGATTAAAACCTGTTGTATCCTGTTGAGAGACGACAACCCCCCCAAAAAAAAAAAACAATCACTCTAACAATTTCTTATGCAAGAATTAGATTAGCGCTAATTAGAACTCAAATCAGAAAGTGAGTAATCGAGAACTCATTTTAGGATGACAAACGATGTTTAATGTAACTGACTTGGGGAGAGACTGTTTTTTTTTTTTTTTTAATCTCTTGTTGCAAGGTGCCATCTACAGACTCAATCTAAACCTGTACGGGTGAATGATTAAAAGTGCCATGTTAAAGCACCTCAACAGGTGCTTTTAGTGTGGTATAACAAGTCCAACGTTATCACACATCCACGCACTGGGAACAGGAACATCCCATCGTAGTTTCCATCTGAAGAGCAGTGAGGGTGTATATTGGGAGGTACAAAGAGTGTGTGTGTGTGTCACATTCACCACCTTCTGCTCACAAAGCTCCACGTGGAGCTATCGTGAGCCTGCTACACCACACTGCCGGAGGAGCCGAGGCCGAGCAGCTCCCTGTCTCCTGAGGTTCCGATGCGCGGGGGGGGGGAAGCGTCCTGCGTTAGAATATATTGGGACACATGGTCCAGTCCTGTCTATCCTTGGCCTCCCAGTAGCCCCCTTTGTACACAAAGTTTGTCTCTCCAGTGACCGAGTCCCTCCTCTGTTGAAACCACAACGGCTGGTAGCCTTCGTATTCTCGACCTGTCGAAAAGATCGCAGTGTGTTACGCAGCTGCCGTCATCGAGTCACGCCCGCGGGCAATGTCCTCCGTACATACATTATGATTATGTATACGAGAAGCAATCAGTCACTTGGTGTGCTGCATTTGGGAAGTCTCCAAATGTGAACCAGCTTCATGTTGCAGTGAATGGTTTGAATGGTATGCATGTGTGCAAAACAAGAACTAAAATCGATAGACAGTTGGGATTAATGCTGATGCTCGAACAGCAATCTCCTTTAGCTCTCGTTCAAGGCTAAATCAAGTCAAATATATATATATATTTTTTTTTACAATAGTATGTTCTACGCGTCCCCAATAGCCTAAACACTAAAAATTGCTCTTATGGAAAATGAATTAAGCAGCTTTGTACTAGCACTGGCTGTCGACTGAAAATGACATCACAGAGCCCAGCTTGCCAATGTCACATGACCAATCCCAGAAAACACCGTCAGCCGCGATGGATGTTAGCTGGGCCCTTGGGCACTGTGATGTCATTTTCAGTCGACAGCAAGTGGCAGTTCACGGCAAAATGGCCGCCCGCTGATATGGATGAAAACAGGTGGATTAAAAAAAATGTTTTTTTTTGCTCAATTCATCTTCCACAATCGCATTATTGATCTAATCAGAATACCATGCTTGGACTTGTGAGGCCACACAGAACACATTAGTGCAAAGAGCATCTTTGACTTGATTTCCCCTTCAAGGAAAACAAAAACACCACACTGCAAACGTAACATTCAACAAGGATTACGTTTATCTTGCTCATACACGGCTGACTCGACTATACTGTGTAGATTTAAATACTTGTGAACTATTTGATATAAGCTTCTCACGTACGCAGGAAAAAAAAAACAAACCAACTTTTTTTTCCTGATTGATTTGTCGGAAGGAGACATGAAAGGAGACATCATGCAGGTCCAACAATGGCAGAACACAAAGAAAGTACAGACAAGATGACCATGTATGCGTGTGCGTCAACAGAGGGCGCAGAGAAACCCCCACTCACCAGAGTCATTATCACATTCTGACCACCAGTAGAGGGAGGGGGGAAAAAAACACAAGTCATGGGTACATGAATACAATCTGTCCAACACACACACGCACACCCACACTTTATAGTGTTTCGACAACTTTGTTAGTTTTTATTAGGTTCAATTGTCTCAAAAAAGCTTCATTTTAGTTTTCGCATTGGTTTTTATGTCGCTCAGTTTTGTTGGAATCCAGTGTTTTCCAAGGGGGGTACATGAGCACATTGCAGTGGCTACATGGAAATTTGTCAGATCAATAACTCGTGGCACAGTGGCACCAAAATCACAACAGCGAGTCAACTCAAATGTCTCATTTAAGCTCAGATGACTGATGAAAAGAAAAACTGCTACGATGGGTCTGAATATTATTCTTGCCCAGTGTTTTGTTTCTGTTATTTTAGTTTAAATTCACATGCCTGTTTAAAGGGGACTTATTGAAAGGAGCCCTCGTTTTTTGTAGTAAAGTGTTATATACAGTATAACAAAGAGAGGTTTGTTCTTTAATTTTACTCCTAATTTTTTTTTTTTATATCTTTTTTTCCAGTGCGCCATCCGCATTTGTTTAGTTTGAGTTAAAAAGAAGACAATGGATAATAATAAAATGTTCGAATTAAGGCAACAAAATGAAATGATTTTCATTCACCGGGAAATAATCGGCCGTGTTACGTTCCTACTTTTGGAGAAACATCAACATGTATGAGTGTGGGGGTCCCCTCGTGATGTGACAAAAGGGTTCGGGGGTACACAAGACAAAAAAGGTTGGCAACCACTGGTGTCATCCCCCTGATGGCTGGGGTGGATCACTGAGATCCACCCTTTGCTACCTCACCTATCACAGCCCAGCTAAGTAAATGGGGGGTGTATCGATCTTGTAGGCCATATTATTTAGCTCAATCATTTTTTTTTTCCCATACCTTCATCCAGAGCATCAGAGGCCTCCGCTTCTCTCCTCCTCCTCACGGCTCTTTGTTTCTCTTCTAACCTTTGTTTCTCTGAATTGGCTTCGTCCCATCGCCCATCTTCCATCAGCCTCTGGTCTGGCCTCAGACGACTGTCGGTCACACCAACTCCGTCTTCTGGCTCGTTCAGGGTCAGCGCCAGCGCTGAGAAGTAGTACATGTTCTCAGCATTCTCTCTAGGAGGAAAAATAGAAAGAGCAGCATGTTGAATTGCTCACTAAAAGTGAAGATTCAGTGCGGCTTAATGAGACTCATGAGAAATGCTCTTACGGGAGAGAATACTTCTTCCACAAAAGTTTGGGGGGCAAGGTCTGGTAGATGGTCTTCTGCTTGCCTTCTGATCCACTCCCACCCCGGCTGCTCTGAATGATCTTGGCACTCTCAATTTTCTCGTCCCACGTACCAGACAGGATGTAATGAGCTTGGCCAACACAGTCAGCCACCACACCTGTTACCTGGAATGACGAAAACAGATATCTCGCTTTTGACATGTATAAATATCATCAAAGAGGAATAACACATGTACAGCAAGTTATAGAATGAGATCAATAAAATCGAACTGTATTACACTCATCAGACTTTTTATTGGGTATTATGGCCAATCTAAGTTACAATGCAAGAGCTGTATCAGGTCTGTCTCTGAAAAAGAAACGTTGAAGAGTTATTTTACGTAATGTAGAGTATGCGTGTATACAGTTTTGACCAGTGACTGTAGCTGTATTACAGCTCTTTTCAAAATTCTCATGAAGCTGTCAGTATTCTCCAGCAGGCGTCAGTTTCACACAAAATCATCACTCGGGCTACTACGCCATGCATCATAGTGTTGTCAGCATCTTGCCTGCCCTATCCTCCGGGGTGACTGGTTCACCGGTCGCATGCTACTACCACTCGCAATTGGTGGCTAACCCCATTGACGGGTGGTGGGGCTTCTTGCTTTCCTTGGGGAATTGGGGGAGGGACAGTGGTGGTTGGCGGGGGGG